TACTTTTGGCACCAGCTCAGATCAACTCCAAGCAACAACCAGGAAAGATCTGGTATGCAAGAACAAACATCGAAAGCGGCTCAGAGTCTGACAGTGAAGGATATGCTGAACCCATAACTGATCCTTCATTCTTTCAACAAATGAGGATGCTGTGGAAAGTACGGAGTGATGGAGCTATTAATGAAGTGGGTACAGGTCACGCTGGAGTAGAATCAAGAACTGGGAAACAGTCAAGTAGTCCACAGGTGCATCATCAATTAGAAAGAAGGGGCTCTGAAGAAGACATGATTAATGACAATAATACACCACCAACTTATGTTGATCTCATTCAGTAGTGATTGATATTGTTACATAACTATTAATATAGTTTATTTTATTACTATTATTAATGTAACACAAGAGTTATGATTGGATTACATTGTGTAAGTACAGTAAAAACCCACGCGTAAGAACCTACATTTTCCAGGGTTAGCCTAAACAGGTATAAATGGTGGTTAACATAAATTTAGGGTATCTAGGTTCTTAATTTCTTGCAAAAAATTATGTCTTTGCTAAGGGGATTTTAGTGATCAGCACCCTTAAATTTGCACACCTACTGATTGCTTATATTTTAATATGACCATAATAGAGATCTATTCTCACATGAATTTTAATTTCTTGAGTCAAAACAACTTTATATAAATGATTGTGCTGTAAAACACAATATTATAAACATTTTCTCAATGACCTCAATCAAACAACATTTATATATGTACTAACTTGCCTTTTGCAATTGCAATTAGTAAATATTTTTAAATGATTTTTGAAAATAAGAACCTTTCTCCAAATTTTAGGCTTAAGAGGGTTTTCTATAGAGGGGGTCTAAATTGCAAATTTTAGCCTAACAGGTTCTTAAATCTTAGGTTCTTACTCGTGGGTTTCTACTGTATTAGTGCTGGAATTTGGAACACAGATTTACTCAAAACAGAATATACTGTAAAATTCCGAAAATAAGCCCCTCCATGTACAAGCCCCTCCAAAATTAATATAAGCCCCCCCAAACCGGTAATGCGCAAAAAACCCTCTGTTAAATAGCCCCTCCAAATATAAGCCCCCCGGGGGCTTGTACTTGGAAAATTGCCCTCAAATACAAAGTAAAACAAAGCAAAAACGGTAAATTCACTTCCAACTATATGGCTAGCCCAATCGATTTTGAAATGAAAATTTCCCTCCGTAGATAAGCCCCTTTGAATATAAGCCCCTCCAAAAATAAGCCCCTCAAAAAGTGCCTTTGAAAAATATAAGCCCCGGGGCTTATTTTCGGAATTTTACGGTATGACACCCTCTGCCCTCTTGCATACAGAATAGATATCTCCCTTCAGATTTCCCTCTATGACAAACAGCTCAAATCCAAGAGATTAAATGGCTGAACACATTTTAAAATACCTCAATGACAAATAGCAATATATATGTCCAAACTCAACCCAAATGCAAAAAAAGCTGTTTCAGCTTTTATGAACATACGTAATTTTGTTGAAATAACAATTCAAACAAAAAGTTAAATAGTTGTTCATGTGTGAGTTTTTTTCATTGTACTATTATTAAATGGAGCTCCCTGATTTTTACGGTGTATCTATGAGTACAGTGAATTGCAGTTAAGATTATTAGTAGATGTATAATAAGTTGGAGATTTTAAATACAATTATTACTGTAATAATTATTTTAGCACATAAATTATGTTAGTCGAATTTATTTCAGAAATAATAAATTCTTATACTTAAATAAAAAGTCACACTTGCAGGCTATAATTAATAATAATATTATTATTAAATTGTAGTCTGCAGGAGTAACTATAGAAAGAATCGGAATTTGTTGAATTATAACCCATTAGGATTGTCACTAAAGGCTGGGAGCCTAGGATTTCCCCTTCTCTGTATTTACAGCTGTCCTCGTCCCCAAAATAT